GTGTTGGGTACTTTAGTTCCGTTGTCTGAACCATATAAAAATAGTGGCCTCCTCAGTCTTCTCTTATCGCATTCTCTTTCCATTCTAATTCTTGGCATGATGTCACAAAACAGATTTGGGGGGGAGGAGGGGAATAGGGAGAGGTAGGTAAAAGGGTATAAACTTTCAGTCATAAGATGAGTAAGGTCTGAGGATCTAATGTATAACACAGTGATTATAGTTGATAACATTCTTGGATGAAGTTTGAGAAGAGAGGAGAAGTCAAATGTTCCCACTAGAAAGAAAAAAAGATAGTTAAATATGTGAGGTGATGTATATGTTCATTAATTCAGTGGGGAAGAGTCCTTTCAAAATGTGTACATATATCAAATCGCCATGAGGGATACTTGAAATATCTTACGATTTTATTTTTCAGTTATACCTCAGTAGAGCTAGGGAAAATAAAGAAGAAAGTTCTGAGCCACATTTAGGTGAAAATAGCATTCTATTCTTTACTACCCAGATTCAAATTAGTCCTCCAGTCCCTGGAAACTGATCCATTCATCCAACTTACTTAAAGATTAGTCATCTACTATGTGCCAGGCAATGTTTTTGAACAGGAAACACAACATAAATGATGCACAGTTTCAGTCTTTAAAGAATTCAAAATATATTGGGAAGACTTACCGAAAGATGATGACAATACAGTGCAATTGCTATGACGGGGGATGTGCCAGGGTCTGTGGGACCCTAAAGCAGAGAGCCTTCGGGAACAGCACCCCTTGGGGAAATGACTTCATAGAGAAGGTAACATTTGAGCAGTCATATCAGGTCGGCTTGATGTGCTTCCAACATGGAGGCAGGGTACAGAGGGGGATTCCAGAAAGAAGACAGTTAATGCAGAGATCTTAAGGAAAGAACAAGCACATTCTTCTCTGACCAGAAAGAGGAAAATAAAGGGAGGGGGGTGGAGATAAAATGTTGGAAAGGAAGGACAAGGACTAATGTATGAAGGGTCTTGGTTATCTTTAGGAGGAATGTGAAATTATCTTGTAGGCAGTGGAAAAGCGAAAAAAATTGAAGCAAAGACAATTACAGGAAGTTGTCCTTGCAACCGCTGTACATTGTTTCCCCTGTATCCCCTCTAATTTCATCCCCTGTCTTCTCTTAAGTCAAGTTCTTGAATTCCTTTAAACATACTCAAGTAATAATAATCTCTTATATTTGATATATTGGAGTCTGAGGTCTAATTTGATTAGGACCCTTACCTCCATTCCTTTTTATCACCATAGGAAGCATAGGAGAAGACACCCCCCTCCCCTGGGACTCTAATTTCCATAGGACTCCTACATTGCTGTCTCTCCCTCCATTTCCTTCCCTTCTCTATCTTCTGAAACTTTAGAGAAGTTTCAAGTCAATCGTTAGCAAAATCCCCTTAATAATCAACTTATTTTGAGACTATTTCCTTTGGGTTCTTTTTTGTAACTAACACTGGCCTCTCCACTGATTATACTCCTTCTCTTACATCCTTCTGTTTTCTCCTTCTACCGCAAGGGCTGGAGTCACGGTATATGTCCCGCCTTATTTCTTTTTAATGGTACTTCAAGATTATTCTCCTTTCCTCCTCCATAAAAACTTCAAGTTTTGACTGTGATTTTGTCAAACTGTCCCATCCACTGTCTCTCCTTGCTATAATCATCTACTAGTTCTCAAGTCATTTTCCCTCCTTCTTTGATGATCTCATTTCCTGGTTCAGTCCTACTCTCAACACTATTCTTGTTTTTAATTCTTGGTGATCTCATTGTTGATGTAGAAAATTTTGCCAGTGTTCTAGGCTCTTAGATATTGAGTCTCCTCTCCAATTTCATATTCCATCCCAACTCAAGAGACTCACTTCCATGGGTATATCCTTGATATTGCTCTTACAAATCGCAATTTTGAATATCTACTGTGACTATCACTGAATATTTTTCTAGCTCACTCCTGCTAATATCATGACTAAAAGCACAAAAACAAAAAAAAACCTTTGACCACTTCAGAATTTAAGAGTTGATCTTAAATTGATCTTATTACCCTCCTTCCTCATCCCATGCTATCCCTTCCTTCCTTACATGACACAAATACCATGGCGAAGTCAAAAATCACTCCCTTACATATACCCACAGCGCCTTTGTCTTTCCCTCTGCTTTTCAGTTACCTAGAGATACCAAAAGTCCGGTGAAATCAATACTGCTACTTTGATATCTGCATACACACCACCAAATAAGGCTGAAGAAGGAAGACATAGCGCATAATGAAGCCAATCTCACTTTAAATTCATGATCATGAATGCTGCCTGACAATTATCTGATATTTCCCTAGTCCTCTCCTTACAACTGACCTATTTAAATATTTCATACATTCTTCTCTCTTTTTCCTATTATTCTCTCAGTTGATGAATATTCCTGTTTCACTAAGCAAATTAAAGCATTCAGAACTTAACACTCAAAAAAAGGAACTCTTGGCTTTGCTTCCTGCCTCTCACCTCCACCAACACAAAAAGCAACAAAAACACGTTCGTCCTATGGTTTTCTCCATCTCAGTGAATGGCAACTTCATTCTTCTAGGTGTAGGGCCAGAAAACGTGGTGCTGTCTTTGATGGTTTTCTTTGCTCACCCTTTGCATCTTGTCCTTTAAGAAACCCTGTGATTCTCCTTTCAGTATCACTTCAGTGCTGCTGAAGTGAGCACTGTGATTCTCCTTTCAAAATATATCAAGAATGTTATGCTTCTGTCTACCTCATTACTTCCACTTTGGTCCAGGTGACCAGCACTTTTGCCTGAATTATTGCACTAACTTCAGAGATTGAATCATGCTGCTTCCTTTGTCCACTGTACTTGATTCTCGAGAGCAATCACGAGAGTGGTCCTGTTTGAAATGTAAGTCGGGTTATGTCCCTCCTGTACTCAAAAACTTAAAATTATCCCCACCACAGTCAGACTAGAAGCCCAAACCATTACTGTTATTTAAAATTCCATACATGTTTTCATCTCTGACTTCATCTTTTCTCTGCCTTGCTATTTCTCCTTATCATTTATCACTGTGTCACATTCTGTATATTTTACTTTTCTGTCTTGATTCTTTCCCGTACCCATTAAAATGTAAATGCCATAAGGACAGGGATTTCCGTATGTTTTGTTCACTACTATATTGCCAAAGCCTAGATCAATGCCTCACTTATAGTAGGCATGCAGTAAAAGTAGTGGAATGAATGGATGATTTAATGAATGAGATTGTTTTCACATGGCTGCATTATCTAATCTGTTGTGCATGCTAATACTTTTATAGTTGTGTGATTTACTGTAGTAATTCAAAGGATGATCTCTAATCAGACTCAGAGAAGTTTGAATTTCATCTGCACCTTGCTACATGAATTTGCAAGTTGCATTTAATGTCTCCAAGTCTTGTCTTCTCATTTTTAAAAAATGGACATCATAATAGTAACTGACTCAAAGGATAATTTAAGAATTAAATGAGAAAATGCAGGTAGAATGTTCAAAATGTCCAGGGCAAAGTTAGCAAACTTTTAATAAATCTAGTTAATATTTTTTAATTAAACCTAATACATATTATATTATTTTTCTTTTTGTGCCTTCATTTGCACATTTAAGTAATTTTATAAGTGGAGAAGATAAGCTCTTTGAGATTGGAAATGTTAACTTCTATTTCTTTTTAAACCCTTCCAATGTGTTTCACACCGGTATTTAATCAGTTGTTCTTTGAGAGTCAGGCACCTGAAGTGTTTTGAATGGCTCTTTTTCAGTATGCTAAGGTCATATGATGAAGCAGCCCCATGGTTTTCATCCATTTTTCTATGACAGACTACTCCGGAGTAGGAAAAAAATGTTATGTACTCAGCTTTTGTGTAAAAACAAGACAAGACAGAACAAAAACCTCCGAAGGGAATTACCATAGTGCATTATAAAAAATGTTTGAAGAGAGTTTTCCTAAAAATGACACTCAGGAAGTTCATTGAAATCATTTGCAATTCATCTGTGCAAAAGTTTACACTTCATGTTCAGTCATTTTAAACTTTCCACTTAGGAACATAACCCTTAGAAGTCTAATAGTCCCAACTGTTGGATGCTCACATAGTTTAACTAAATTTTTAGAATTAACAAATATACATGTAGGACTGGCTCTTTTGCTCATGAGTTTAATTATGATGATCCAGAAGGGGGCAACATGTAGGGGTCATCAGCAGGGCTGTGACAGCACAAAGCTTCTCTGAGAGTCTGCACCAAACACACTTCACTGTGCAAGTTTACCACAGGTGGGAGAGATTTTTTTTTCCTTCCTTGTGAAACAGCCACTCTAAATAAATATATTTTGTTCAGATTGCGTATGAGTTGATAGAATTTGTATTCACAAAGCTAGGACTAGAATCCTGGTTATTATGACTGCTAGCCTATGACTTTTATTTTACACTTCCGTATTGCGATATTCTAGGCTAATTTAAAGAAAAGCCTTCATCTAGGAGTTAAAATAACCTTGAGTTCTAGTCACACCTCTGTAAAATGCAAAGATCTGCTGTTCTTGACAAGACTTGTTCACCTTTATGCCTTAGTTTACTCACCTGTGTAAAAGGAGGGATTGTGTCTGCCCTGTATTTTTTACTGCTTGTTAGCATTATGTGCGATGTAAAGATATTTAAAAGTACTTTCTAGTCAGAACGATATTTCAACAGCAGTAGTAGCAATTTCTGATGCTCCTGCTCTTTCTTCCACTTTTAGTCTTTGTTCTTTCCATTCAGTTTCTAAATTTCTGTGACTACATTAACATCACCTCCCACCCCCCACCTTCTCAGAAATAGCGCATTGGATTTTGCCAGTAGAAAATCCAATGATAAAATCACACTGATAGTGAAATAAAGAGCTCCTCCTCTTTTTCTTGGGTGAAATTTTGATAACACCAAATTGTCCTTCCCAATTCTGTACTTGGATATTAGTTACAATAGCATCTTTTCTTCTCATTTTCACAGGAAATGACTTATTTCTTGTAGCAGTTCACGAACTGGGACATGCTCTGGGATTGGAGCATTCCAATGACCCCACTGCCATCATGGCCCCATTTTACCAGTACATGGAAACTGACAACTTCAAACTACCTAATGATGATTTGCAAGGCATCCAGAAAATTTATGGTAGGTTACCACTGTTTTTGTTTGGTTAACCCTACAGTGAAGTCCAGAATTCCTGCTGTTTTTCTTCTTTGAGATGGATGCTCTAAGTATATGAGAGAGATAAATACTGAGAATTAAGAAAAAAAAATAGTCTGGCCTATTGGCAGAAGTCTTATATCAATTAAGTTTTGTTGGCAGTAGTCTAGATATCTTAATATACAGATTAGAGTAAATCTACACACTGATTAATTTTTCTGAGTTTAATTGAAACCTGCAGTTACAGCAAAGATCTGACAAACTTTAGTATTTAAAATCCAGGTTAAAAAATATAATAAATGAATATAACCAATAAAAACAGTGAGAAATATAAGATCTTCTTATAAGATACTGAGATTTGGGTAAAAACTGACAGATTGACCCTCAGTTTATGATACTTGATGTTAGTCAGTTACGGCATAAATCACTGTTGAGGTTGCAGAACATACTCTTGTGTAATGGCTATAATAAAATGACCTCAAAAGCATGTAATTATTGACTAAGTGAAAGTTAACAAACATGGAAGTGGAAGTTAACAAATGGCAAAGTTTACTTACACCTGATTCAAAATAAATTTCTAATATACTAAGATCATTTTTATTTATGGGGTTCAGTCAGTGAATACAAATTAAGACAAAAGGGAGAAAGACTATAATCCTAACTCCCTCAACAGAACCACTGACCTTTATAAAGGCATTTATTTCACACATAATTGTTAAGAACTTGACATTTATAATTTACATATAGAGAGTATGCTTTACTAAATTAGTGAAGTGATGCTTTCATTTTACAATACAAAGGCAAATGTGTGTTATCTGTATGTTAATATCCAGTATCCAGAAGGTGTCTTTTGCATTTTTAAATAGCATAGTTTAAGTTCACTAATTTGTATGGCATTCATTAGTTTTTCAATTTCAATATCTCAGTGGTAACCATTCTCTCAGGGTTAAAATAGGATTTGGAGGAAAAAAAATGTCAACTTTTGTGCTGCTCTTTATTTTGGGGATACTGAGAAAAGGGAAATGTCTCAGACTCAAAGCTAAGTAGCACATGTGTCGAACGTCCGAGCCTATGCCTAATTTGTGCCATCAGAAATTCCTCCTAAGTGGGTAACTGAGGTTAAGGAAGGCTCTTTCTCATGACCTCATGAATTAGTAGTCTAGACTGAAGGTCTGCAAAAGAATATTTTTTCCATATCTAAATATTAAGTGTGAACAGCTCTGTATTTCTTTTTAAAAACACAAATTCCTTGAGGAATGATGCTTTACATCTGTACCAAATTATATGTGTAAACTTTGGCTTAATTTAGAAACCTCTTTTTAGAAATACTTCTTCACATTAATATTTTACTAGTGGCATTTTAATCAATAGGTGTTTTAGATTCAGTATTCAAATGAAACACTCATCTAGCAATTTGTCAAAACATGTCATTAGAAGAAAATAATGAAAGTCAGGAAAAGGTTATAAAAACGTTTGGAGACACAGGATAGAATAAACTTTGATTCGTTAATGTTTATCCTCTAGAACTATTTGCATAGAATCATTGTCTATCAAAACCTAGGATTAACTTGGGTGAAGCTTACATGCATGGTTCCAGTATTCATCTTCATTTATGTATTATTTATACACCTCCTATTTCCAAAAAAGATTTGAAAGCAGCTTTTCCAATAAAGACTCTGGCGAAGCTATAAAAAATATCATTAAAAATTAACAAAGAAAGTTCAGTGACTTGGATTCAGAACTTAGCATGATAAGGACTTTCTGAGAGACTTGGCAGTGGTGTGTTGGGTACGATGGTTTGTTTGTTCAGAAAACATACAATCTTAAAGACTTCTTAGCTCACTTAATATGTGCCCTCCCCTCATGAGTGATTGTCCTCGGCAGCAGACTGTCCAGCACTGTTCCAGTGTTAAGTGAGCCAAGTGCTTTCCTCATATTTTCAAAGGTCCACCTGACAAGATTCCTCCACCGACAAGACCTCTACCGACAGTGCCCCCACACCGCTCCATTCCTCCAGCCGACCCACGCAAGAATGACAGGCCCAAACCTCCTCGGCCTCCCACTGGCAGACCTTCCTATCCTGGAGCCAAACCCAACATCTGCGATGGGAACTTTAACACTCTAGCTATTCTTCGCCGGGAGATGTTTGTTTTCAAGGTAGGAGGCTGTGATTTTTTTTTTTTTTTTAACGGTAGATCAAGTGTCTACGGTGTAGCTTTAGAAAACAAGTTCTCATTCATTCTCACACTACCTTCCCAGACCTCTCACAGTTAGAAGTTTCAAAAAAGCATCTTAAAAAATAAACGCACAAATGAGCTTAAATGTCTAGCAGAAGATTGCTGTAACGTTCTATTTGAGGAATGCATTTATGTCAGCAGAAGCTAAAATGCCTAGAAATGTGAGGGTAAGAAAATGCTGCATGTTACGAACAGATAAAAAAGCATAATTGAAATCATGAATAGGAACTAATAGGGATGATTTGCTTGGGAGCTTAGCCACTTCCAGGCATGCTAGAGCTATTCTATCTTTGATTTGCACATCTTTATGAGATCCCTATGATTTCACTTGACAATTAAAGCATTGTTTTTTAGAAGTAGTAGTGATCATTTTGTTTGGGGTCTACTGGCAGGAATTTGAGTTAATATGAAACCATCATTTTGATTTTACAAAAGTGTATGTCATTTTCTTTAGTCAGACATTTATATATACCTGATTTATATTATTTTTTAAGAAGGTTACAAGTAAAACTAACATTACATTTTGCTAAGTGTGCCTTTTAATGTCATTGGGTTCTCAGACAACACTAACAAGCAGTGTATTAAAGTAAGTTACATAATGAACTTACAAAGTAAGTTTAATCTAATGTTGAAAGGTGAATATAGTGTAATAGTGAAAAATATTTTCTCCCTCAATATTGTAAACTGATCTGAAAAACTGATGAAAAAATATAAGTATTATGTTGGCATTAGCATATTAAAATAACCACATCTTAGCAATACCATCCATTTAAAAAGAAAATAATGTGCTCTCTTTTTGGGTAGACGTGAATCAATAAATAATGAAATATTGTCCTACTTATGCAGAATTTCCTGTCTTCCAGAGGCTACACTTTAAAAATATAATTTCATATAATTTTTAATAGACAAAGTACTCTATTTCCTTTATTGGAAAATAAGATTTGGATTTGATATAATATGCACAAGAGCATCATACTTTCCAGGAAAAATCGATGCTTTTGTTCAAACACATGAATAGATTTTTGAATTCTGTAAATGCTCTGCAATGCTTAATTAGATATCTCCCATTCAATTTAAGTAGATTAATAAATTTAGATTCAAGGAGTAAAAAATAAAAGCTCTCTCTCTCTCTCTTTCTCTTTATATACAGCCACTCGTTGTGGCTCAGCCCGCAGCAACTAGTTGAAATGAAAACAAAATGCAGTCATTTGTGTATTCTACAAGACACTAAATGACATTTGAAGGATTTTGTTTTCTCCGATTTGGCCAAATTCCAACATCCCAGCTTTATAGCTTGATATCATAGTCATATCAACAAATTGATAAATTTATCTGAGAATATGGTGTGAAGTGGACTCTGGGTACATCCTTTCCATCCTTCCTAGCTGTCTAACTAGATGGCCGATCTCAGAAAAGACTGATATCTTCAAGTGTAACAATCATTTTCACCAGCCATTCTGCTCTGCACACTGGGAGTGTTCTTGACTGACAAAATGAGGTCTTGTGATCACTGGTTCCTGGAATCAGGAGTGGATAAAAAGCACATAGACCAACTCTCAAGTAGAATACAGTAGCCACTCTTAATATCAGAACAGGTATATGAGAAATATGAATAAGGTCTGCTTCTCTAACCTCTCATGTTACCTTGGCTTCCTTAATCAAAATTCTATTGGAGAGGGGCGCCCGGGTGGCTCAGTCGCTGGGCGTCTGCCTTCGGCTCAGGTCATGATCCCAGTGTCCTGGGATCGAGCCCCGCATCGGGCTCCCTGCTCGGCAGGAAGCCTGCTTCTCCCTCTCCCACTCCCCCTGCTTGTGTTTCCTCTCTTGCTGTGTCTCTCTCTGTCAAAAAAATAAATAAAAAATCTTAAAAAAAAAAAAAAAACTCTATAGGAAAGAGTTCCGAAACTCTGTCTGAATAATTTCTTTTTTCCACTGGTCCCTGCCCTCTTTCTAAGAATAATTACTGTTGAGGATATCTTCTGATAGGCATTGCATTCTTTTTCATCTCCACTTACTTGATGGATTTTGTATGACATGACTTGATAATTTTCATACTCATCTCCTCTTTCGTAGAATGCCCAGGGCGGTTTACTAGGCACCAGGGATGTACGAATAGAAGGTAGTATCCCTGTCTTTATGGAGCTCATATTCCAGGAGTGAAGACAAACATGAATTTAAGTACTTTCAAGATGTAGGAGTAAAAGGTACAACATGGACATGAAGAGAAAGTACTGAAGTCTAGCTGAATAGTTCCAGAAAACTTGACTGAGAAAAAGCTTATGCTGAATTTTGAGAGAAAAATTTCTTAGGCACATTAAAGAAATTGGTATTTGGTGTACTAAAAAGTTGGTGTATTGAGGGAGAGAAAATAGATATATTAACTCTAGTGCAAAGTGACAAATTATATAAATTGGAAATAAACAAGAAAGCATGATTGAGTAATACCTGCTCTTAATTAATAGCTACTATGGATTGGGTAACTAATATGTCCCTAAATGTATCTGGGCACTTTACATCCATAATCTCTAAATCTGATAATAACTCTGCAAGATGCACAGAATTCTCTATTTTACAAATGAGAAAACTGAGAATCAGAAAAGTGAAGTAGTTAGTCTGAGTTACAAGGTTTGTAAGTGGTAGTCAGTAGATGAACACAGGTCTACTTGATTCTAAAATCTGTGTTTTTCCCACTAAGCTTTGTTACCTGAAAGAGTAAGGGAAAGTTCAAATGAAAGGTGGCAGGCTTTAAACTATATCTTAAAATAATAAATATGCAAGAAATATTTATTGAGCTCCTACTGTGAGATGTTGTTTTAGGCACCGGCCATGTGTTAGTAAACAAAACAGCTAGACCCTGGCTTCTTGGAGCTTACATTCTAGCTTTCAAAGTGCTTCACACAGAGGTTCTCCATGGGTCACTGAACTATGTGGGAAAGCATCCACAGATTCTGTTTTCCTTTATTAATAACTGCTGGCCCACTAAGTTATCCCTTTATACCTAAATAGACTAGACTAACTTTACCTCAAATTAATGTCATTTCCCCATACGTGTTCTACTTGCCTGAAATTACTCTCTGCCAGTCTCTCTTGTGCATGCCTGCCTGTTAAATTTTCTTTTACTATACTCATCATTAGTTTCATAGTTTGCTCCTTATCAACTATTCCTTCAAGTATATTTTAGGATCACCCACTCTTTGATCTCACTTTTACTAATGTAACTTGATTCTCTACTTTTCTTCACTACAGATTCTCTACACAAATTAGAAACCTCTTTATCTCCTCAACCTTACCCACCCAACACTCATTTCACTGTGGTTTTAATATCTGGGGCTTCCTTGCAAGCCTCTGCTTATCTAAAACTTCCCTCCTCAATGTCTTCCACATGTCCCAACCTCTCTGACTATTCTTCAACCCCAGATCTCTTTCTAGTGATTTCTATATTTATTCTCTACATTCAGTTAGCATATTGTAAATTTCTGTCTTCTCTATTTCTCATGGTAGTACATTCCTTAACTAGATTATAAACTTCGTCAAAGCAGGGACTGGTTCTTTTGGGCTTCATAACGCTCAAGCTAATGAGTAAGGATCTCAATATAAGAATTATCTAATGAAAATAAAACTACTATTTTGTTTATACAACAGTAATCAACCAATACGACGTTACTGAAAATATTTCATTCTGCTAGTTTGTTATTCCTTGCCCAAAGATTTCCGTATGCTTTACTTAAAATCCATATGTGTGTTTTTACTTAAATTCTGAAAATCTAGATATAAGTAAAAGGTAATATCATCAGATAATTTTGTTTTCTTATTAGAAAGGAAGTTTTCTTTAGAATGGTTAGTTGTAGCCTAATTCTTTTTAGGAGAAAAATTCCTCTTCAGAGATTTGATTTACATTGAGCTTTGCAGACACTCATTTATTTGAAGTGAGTTCACCTGGACATGTATCTAAATGGAAGTATAACAAGCATTACATATATAATGTACAACATATATTTTAATTATGTGTGTGTGTGTATGTGTGTGTGTGTGTATTTTTGTCCCATCCTATAGATAAAATCCTGAATATATTCACATGAGAAAGTTAAGCCTTCCATGCAGCTTCATAATCTTTGGGGAACATAAACCATCTAAAGCAAGAAAATGAAAATCAAAACAAAATGCCAAGGAACAGGGAATAAAATAGTGATATGAGAGAAGCTTTGTCCTTCCTCAAAAGAGGTGATTTTTAAGAGTGTTCCCTGCAGAGTTTATACTGTGCATATCACAGGAGGTTGCTGTTGTGACCAAGCTGACAACAGGAAGATCTGACTGTTCAAATGAAGACTCAAAGGTCTTTGGGACTACAAGATAAAAACATGGACTATTTAGCTATTTTGTGGTGTAAAAGAAAGCGGAATTAGCCAAACTTGTATAGGATATGTTTCAGCACACAATATTTTGTTATATGGGAAAGAATGCAGTAGTAACTCTTCTTCCTGAAATTGAAGATAGGAAGAAAAACTGTATCCACACCTGCAGTTCTTTTAGCATGTGCAGACATGTGTGTGTGCATGCACACACGCTCACACACACACACACACACAGAAGGTTTCACTTGGCAATTGACCAGTTCTTTAAATCAAGGGGAACAAACAAAGGCCAGTGCTTGACAACAGAGCCAGAAAGGATAGTGTTAAAAGTCACTTTTACACTGTTTCTTGGAACAGCATTCACGGAAGTACAGTAAAGTGTCTTCCCAATTAGTAGAGAAGAAGGCTTAAGGCTCTGAGTAAGGAAAGCATTTCATCGTATACCAAGAAAACCACACAAAAAAAAAAAAAGAAAGAAAAGAAAGCAAACCAACCCAGAAATCACTTGGTTCTTTTTTCTTTATCAAATTCTTGTCTATTCATGTTTATTCATCACAAAACTATGTGT